TTGGTTTGCCAAGGACCATCCAATTGTAAAACTAGAATTCTGTGTCCTGTGGACTCCCTTGGTCTTGTGCACATAAGTTGAGCCTAATATATACATCCTTGATGGCCTAATTTATTTAGGAAGTAGATAGAATAGTGATCCTTGCTGTTTCTTATTTGTAAACAGATAAACACATAAATGTGGTATATCAGATTGGAATATTATTCAACCTTAAAAAGGAAAGATATTCTGACATATGCTATGACATGGATGAACTTTGTGGATGGATAGTTTTCTAAGTGAAATATGCCAGCATCAAAAGACAAATTCTTTATAGTTGCACTTTTGTGAATCACCTAGGACAGTGAAGACCATAGAAATACAAAATAAAACTGCAGTTGCCAGGAACTGGAGGAGGAATGAATGGAGAGCTGTTTTTTGGTGGGTATACAGTTTTCATTTTGCAAGATGAAGAGAAGTTCTGGAAATGGATGGGGATGATGGTCACACAACACTGAATGTGACCAATACCACTGAGCTGTGCACTTCGAGATGGTTAATATGGTGAATTTTATGTTGCATGCTATTTCAGAAAGAGGAAATAATGCATCAGATACCATGAGTATTGTTTCTTAGGGTTAAGACAAAGTGATATTCAGATTAAACATACAGATGTGTAACTAGAGGGATGGCAGCTACACTGGAAGGAGAAGTTGGTCCATTCTGAGCTCAGACTGAATGAGCCTCAGCTCCTGCCATCCTCAACCTGCCCCACTCCACTGTCCCCATTCCCCATCTGCTGTTTGCACCTCTGATCCACAATGGCCATGAGAGCTAACTCTCGTGCCCTGTTGGGTCAGTGCGGCCCCATGGCAGAGTCCCAATATCCACAAACACCCCTTCTGTCACTTTGGCTCTAGCCTGTTGGTCTCACCATTAGGCTAGAGGTGCCTTGGGAGGGTCCCTTGAGCCTCCTGCACTGGGGAAGGGGTTCTGGAGCATAACAGTGGCTGGAGGGAGGGACCCAGAGAAGCAGAGCTGTCTCCGTGCTGGGGTCCTTCCTCCTGGAGGCTGAGCAGACCCCATCCTCTCCTCACTTGTCATACTCTGCCAGCAGACTGGACTTGCTTGGCTGTGACTTTGTGAACCTGAAACAAGAGTGCTGAGGGGACCTGAGAGCTGGTGTGTCATACCCAGATCTGTTATGTGTATCAGACACACGTGATGGTGCCATGGCCTCTGAGAGCCAGCTCCTAACTCTGACACCAGCTCCGGAGACTGAGGACAACTCCTTTGTAGGTGACCCTTCCCTCTCCATGCTCTGCAGTATATTCCATGGGTCTTGCACACTGAAAGCCTTCCATATTTAAATCAAGCTGAGTCCTGACATTGCTTTCCAGGTTCAAAATGTCTTAAGCTTCTGATATTCAAGATGGCAATAATACAATTAAAGAACAGCCGACATTTGTCAAGGGCTTACTCTGCCATACATGGTTTCACTTAATACTCCCAGCACCTGAGGCATAGGGCTTATGGAGATGAAAGAAACTCGTTCCAAGTCTGGGCTTTGCAGAAGAGCCACAGAGAACAGATGAAGATGGAGGGAAGCAAACTGCCACAGAGTCATGAATGGTGCTTCTGAAACTGTAAAGGGCACACGGATCATCTGGAAATCTTCTTAAGAAGCCAAGTTTAACTCAGTGGGTCTCATGTGGGGCCTAAGAGCTGGTGTTTCTAATAGCAGCTTCTGTCTTGAAAACCAGGCAGCACCCCTGTCTCCTTTCTTCTGCACCTGGGATGGAATTCATTCATTCCCTCCACTCGTTCATTCTTTGTGTCATTTGTGGAAGAGCACCAGCTATGACATTAGAACCAGGTTCTAAACCTGATTTAACATTCAGAACATGGATGACCTTGATTCTTTGCTGCCTGTCTGAAAAATGGGAAGAAAATCTCATTTTCTAGCATCTTGGTGAATAGAAAAAAAATACAACAAAATGCAGCAAGAATCAGCCGCAAGGGCTCGGACTCAGTGCACAGTCAGTAATGGTTGTTTGAGAGTTAATTTTATTCCTTTACACATTTCAACCAGGCTTTCCATAGGGTTAACCAGATAAGTTTCTTTCAGCATTTATTTGTTTATTTGTTAGTGATTCCAGCAAGGATTACAATGGACAAGAGATAGAGGAACTGGCCAGGAGTAAACATGACTTGCAATCATGTAAGCAAAAGGGAGAAGGAAATTGATGAAGAGACAGGTCCTGGGGGTGGGAGTGGGGGACACACTTGGCACATGGCTCCTCCCGGAAGCAAAAGTGTGTGTGTGTGGAGCAGGTGAGCAAGGCTAGAAGGAGGTAAAATGTCAACAGATCGCAAGCCGTGAATTATCTGGAGAGAATTACATATATAGGCAATTATTGGCAGGCGTCTGAAAGCAACAATAAGGGAACTTTGTCTGCAGCTGAAATCACTCTCCTTTTGGAACAGGGCTGGGGAGACCAGACATCAGAGCAGGCATTTTACATGCAGGACAAAGGAGGGGCCCAGGGCTCCTGGTGGGGGTAAGAGACGGGAGCTGACAGGGGTCTCTCCCCCCAGCAGTCCAGCCAATCCAGCAAGACCCCTCACCAAGCACACAGCACTGTGCTTTCAAAGGGGGCTTTATCCACAAGCTCCATGACTAGAAACCAGGCCCCTCCTCTCCCACACGCCCTCCCCCAAAGATGTCATCTTTTGAGACGATTTCATGTGGAAGTACCGCTAAGTAAATTCTCTAAATGCCTATTCATCCTCGTCAGATGGGGGCTCGGTGAAGCGGTAAATGTGAAAATGGCCCCAGCTCCCGGCCCTGAAAGACGTTTTCTGGGGCTGCCAAGTAGTACTGCAGTAATGGCTGACCCTGGGAGGCCTGTGGCTTCACAGAGGGGGCCCCAGAGCCCCGGCCTCAGCCCCTCAATCCTCCCACTGAGGCCGCCCGCCCGCCTCAGAGGTCCCTACTTATTATTCCTGCTGCCGGGGACCCATTCAGAGGTTAACTTGTCCCGTATTCATCAGGATGACAATAATGAACTGTCGCAGAGAGTGGCGAGGGGTTTGGTAAGAGCTGCTGAGACACGGAGATGGAGTGGGCCTCTTTATGGCTGGGAAAGACATTGCTGGAATTTCTTTCATAGGCTGATTTTCTCCCAGAGGTTCCCTTTCCTCTCCTCTCCCGAGCCATGGGCACCTGTGTAGGTAGGAGGTACAGGTGGGCTCACGGGGGGCGCATCGCTGTGCACACAGGTGGGGTTAGCCTTTTGCATCCATCCCCAGGATCTACCTTTGTGCCCATCAGCAGGGCCCAGCTTCCTGATTGTGTGATGGAGTCCCCTTGCTGCAGTCGCACTGGCTCTCCTGGTGTCTGCCAGGGCGAGGACGCTGCCTTTGAATTGGTGTTTATTTCAGTAATCGGCTGGGATTATCACCAGCGCTCATTTTCACTGCAGTGTCTCTTAACTGCTCAGTGCCACTTCCCCTCCCCACCCCTGGAATTATGAGTTGGTCAACATGAGTCATCCAGTGAGAGATCCAGGGCTCTGAGTGCTGGCGAGACTGCAGTGTTGCAGAGAAATGGAGAGGGGGTGAGGGCTGGGGGCGGCTCCCACCTGGCAGAGAGAGCATGTACTGTGTACCTACTGTGTGCCTTTGAAATGCACCCCGTTTTCTATTCAGTATCTATGCAGGATGGACCTACTATGTGACCACACGTTTGAATCTCAGCAGCCACAGGGGAAATGATTTCTCTTCCATCAGTGCGCCTGGCATCAGTTCCCAGGACTTTCTGTGTCTAGAGCCCGGGAGATTGCTTCCTAAGGCAGCGCCCTGCTTCTCAAAATCCTCACTTCTGTTCTATTCTCAAAGATGTTCTTCCTTCCCACCACCTCCCCCTCCGCAGTTCCTCCCGATCTGGAGCAGTTTTCCTAAGGAAAACTCCTGGAGCCCAGCAGCCAAGTGACGGAGGAAGGAGCTGTCACATCAGCTCCTTAACCTGTTGGGGTTTATTTAGTGGAAGAGGCGACCGTATCTCAGGCAGATGGAGGCCTGTGTGACTGCCTTTTAAAATACTGTCACAGCTGTATGCACGAGTTGATTAGCTGCGACTGCACTGAGAGAACGAGATTGATGACGATAAATTTCAGATAACAATGCCGGGAACTGTGTCATCTTTTTGCACTGTGATTCTTGTTTTTAAAGCTCTCTCAATTGGGAGCCCAGGGGTTATGGAGGACTCCACATTTGTTCCTTCACTAGCCAATTAATTCACTGCTCAGAGTGCAATGCAAGGAGTCATTCATGCATTCACTAGTTCATTCACTCATTCATTAACCCACATTAATGTAGCTCTTACTGTATGCCAGGGATGAACAATGAAGGTGAGACTTTTGAGAAGCAGGGGGTTGTCTTAACAGAGCAATACCTGGGCTCTAAACACAGGAAAATCAGCTGTCTGTTGGAAGAACTTCCACTGTAACATAAGTTCACTGCCATCAGCTGGTGATAAAATAGGAAGCAAAAACAAAGTGATATGATAAAGGTAGGGGGAGGGACAGGCAGGTGCTCCTTTAGGTGAGCTGGCCAGTGAGGTCCTCTCTAGAGAGGTGACATTTGAAAGAAGATCTAGAGGACAAGAGCAGACCAGTGGTGGGAATCCAGGACAGCAAGTGCAAAGGCCCTGAGGTTGCTCTGTCTTTGGCATTGAGCAGCACAGTGATGAGCTCCTGCTTGCAAAGCACAACGCTGGACACTGGAGCTCCAAAGCAGATGAGAGGCTGGGCTCGCCCTCAAAGAATTCCCAAGAGTGTGGACACACACACGGGAGAGACACAGACAGCCCATTACCGGGCCTTAGGGTGTCAGCAGGAAAGGCAAGGCCAGCAGACTAACGCAGAGTGGAACCTGGTTTCTGTGACAAAGGAGGAAGCCAAGAACTGAAGTTTCTGTGGTCTCTAGAGTCCTGACCTCCCTCTTGTCTGTTTCCACAGGACAAATGACCAGCTGGTGGCGTTTCTCTCCCGATACCGAGATATGAATTTCTTGAAGTCACATGGCCGGGACAATGCAAGGTAGCTCTTTGTCCCCTACCCCCGTGCAAAATAGAAATGGAAAATCTGAGTCATCACTTGGGGGCCGGCTTCTTTCTAGGATGGTTTGTTGCAACCAAAGGAAAGGGGAGGAGGGGAGGAGGCTGAGGACGGCACAGGTGGACCTTGGTCATTTCCATGTAGGTCTGGGCAGCCCCATCCTGTCAGCCAAGGACAGACATCTGAGTAGGACAGCCATGGTTACTTCCCATTTTGTTGGTGGGACGATTGAGGCCTGCCATGCCAGTGATTCTCTCCAGATCATTCAGTCATTCAACAAACATTCATATGCCAGGCATTGTTGTAGCAGTGAAAAGAGCCTCTCATGTCATTTGCTTTCCAGTGGAAATGAATCCCCTGCCAGCAAGCAGCTGAATCCAGGGGTCTGACTCCCAGCCCAGTGTCCTTTGCACTGCTCCCTACCACTGACCAAGATGTCAAGGGGAACAGAAAGCACCCAGAACCCCTGGTCTAGATCCATTACCCCGCTCTCATAATGAGCCATGTCAAAAAATAGCAGGTCTCCCTAGTGGGAGACCAGATCCCAGATTGACAGACGCGAGTTACTCTTGAGTGCCCCCTGCAGGAGATGCCTGGGCTGCCCGCTCAGGGGACCACTATCCTTGTTAATAGCCTGTGTTTGGCTTTTCTGGTGTTTCATTTGAAAATTAATAGCCCCATTAAAGACAGCAGTATTTCCCATGAAAATCCAGACTTCCAGCTAGTCTTGCAAAATCCAAAGGCCCACAGCACTGTACCTGAATTTTCTCGTGACAGATATGACCTGAATCATAAACAAAGCCCCTCTTTGCCCGATCACCTCTGTCTCTCATCTGTCTCCCTTCCCTACCTGATTCCCGTTGGCATTTCAGTTTGCAATCTCTGATTTAAATCTGCTGTACCATTGCTGGCAGAGATGCTGTTTTAGTGAGCTCTGTGACTCAGTTTACCTAGTTATCCCAAGTGAAGGACAAAACAAACAGCTCCAGGTACCAAGGTTTTGAGAAGTCACTCCAGTATCCTCAGGTTGTACATTTCCTAAATTTTACCTGCGATTTCATTCAAGTGACTGCATAAATCGCTACCATCCTGCTCCCAGCTCACATTTAAAAGGGGCACTTGGACTTGAAGGTGGCTCTGTAAGTCAGTCAGCGTGGTCAGACCACTGAGGCTGAAGAGGCTGGCAGGACAGACAAGAATCAGCCACTGCGGGTTGTCTGTCTGTCTGACCACCACCCTGCGGGGCCCCCTGACCCATTTCATACAAGATCTAACTCATTCAGTGCAGTGATAAGGATAAGAAGTGTTATTCTCAGATTGGTGGAGTGGCTCAAGAGGTAGAGAGCCTGCCTAGCAAGCATAAGGCTCTTGAGTTCAAATCCCAGTACCACCAAAAAATTTTTAAAAAGGAATTATTATCCTCACTTTCAGGCAATGAAAGGAGGCTTTGGGGCTTGAAATGATTTTTCCCTAAGGTTGCATAGCTAGTTAAATGCTAGGATTTGAACCCAGGTCTTTCTAGCCCCAAAACCATAGGATCAAGGTAGGGTAGGCCATGAGTCCAGAGAGATGGCTAATTACCAGAAGTGACCCTGATGTTGACTTTGCCTTGCCTTAGGCAAAGAATGAAAACCAACTTCCCCTTGGGCAGCCTGAGGAGTTGCAAGAGATGGTCTCCAAAGTCCCTTCCCTTTCTGATGTCCTTTGCTCCTGGACCAGCCCATGTAGAAAATGACAAAGGCAGAAAGCTTGAAAGCCAGAAGGATGGGGAGGAGCAAATGCAAACAGACCATGGGGTGCCTTGGGTTTTATTTCCATGCAGTGCTCATAGTGGCATTGACCTTCTGCCCATCTCCAGTCCTTAGCAGCCAATTTGGACTTCCAGCCCCCACTGGGAAGAGATGGCACAAAGACAAATTCATATTTAAATAGCAGCCAAATTGGCCTGACTGTTCTTGTAATTAAGTGAAGGGGAGTGTGTGGTCACTGTTTCTTCTCCAAAAGTAAAGGAACCTGCCAGACTGAATAGCACATAGCACAATTACTGCTTTCCCAGATAGCCGCGGCAGAAGCAGGTGCCCTGAAGTTTACTGTCCACCTGAAGAGTGGAGTCCTTGGAGCTCTGACCTCTGCTTGGGAGCTGCCATCAGAGAAGTTTTGCAAGTCTCTGCAGGCTGCCCAAGTCTCAGTGTGTGGGGACATGTCCCCTGCAGGGAGACAGAAAGGGGAAGTCAGTTCTCCTGACTCACTGGCCTCACTCCATCTAGCCTCTTTTCCTCAGTCAGAGGCTCCAGGACACTGGTGTTTAGCACTAGGACAGTGTTATCTAGTGGTAAGAGCAGAGATGACAGGGTCTAGCCATCTGTGTCAAAATGGCAGCTCTGCCACACCCCAGCCATGGCATTTCAGTAGTTGACTTGGAGTGGCCATAGGTCTGTTCCTTCATATTTTTTTTTTTTTTTGGCCGTGCTGTGGCTTTGACTTCAGGGCCTTACACTTGCTTTCAAGAGCTCTACAACTTGAGCCACACCGCTAGCCTTTGTGCTTTACTTAGTTCTCAGATAAGGTCTCATGCTTTTGCCCAGGCTGGACTTGAACCATGATTCTCCTATCTCCTCCTCCCTAGTAGCTGGGATTGCAGCTATGCACCACTAGACCTGGACTATTCCTTCATCTTTATATGATTCAGATGGCGATAATGGGGTTGGGGGACTGAGTATTTTCACTGAACACAGGACGGCACAGAGCTGGGGGCACTTTCACATGTTATCTCACTTGTTATCTCAACAGTTTTCATCCCACTGGAGAGATGAAAACAGCTGAGCTTGCAGAGTTGTTTTAACTTGCAAGTCCTGTGACTTGTGAATGCGGAGCTGGGATTGCACCCCATTTAGTGTGACTGGAAGGCCAGTGTTCTTTTGTCACTCAGTGTTTCTGGTAACAGCCTATGAAAGGCCCTGCAGTTTTAATTTCTTGGTGTGTCCATGTGAAAGGACAAAAGCCTGTAACTTGAACGAGAATCATGTTGTGTGAGTGGGGCGGGCCCTTCCCTCCTTCCTAGAATTACCATTTCCCAAAGTGCCTTTCGGACCTACCAGTGATGTATGGGGTAATTCATACTGTGAAAGTTATGTATTGGCCTTACATGTATTGCCAAATCTGTGTATAACTGGTGCATCTAACCCATGAATTTATGGCAATTATGCTTAGACTAGGGCTAAGCTTTAAAATAACAGCTATTTAAAGCTGGCTCAAAGAAAAGTAGCAAGAGAGCTCTCTACAGATGCTATCCAAAGCACAGAGCACAGAGGCTAGGAATCAGGCACTGAAGTCAGATGGGCAGGAGTCACACACCAGCTCTAAGCACTCGCTGTGTGTGGCCTTGCATAAATTACATCAATTATCCATGTGTCCCTTTCCTTTTCTGTAAAATGGGAATGAGGACAATAGTGCAGAGTTGTTCCAAGAATTAACTGAGTTAAGCCGGGTATAGTGGTACACACCTGTGATCCCAAACACTCAAGAGGTGGAGGCAGAAGAATTGCAAGTTTGAGACCTGCCCAGCCAAAGTTAGTGAGACAGCAATAAAAACTAAAGCAAAAAAGACAGAAGGAGTGGCTCAAGTGCCAGAGCACTGGCATAGCAAGTCAAGACCCTGGGTTCAATTCCCAGTACCACAAAAAGATGGAAAGAATGAGGGAGGAAGGAAAGTAGGGAGGGAGGAAGAAAGGAAGGGAAGGAGGAAAGTTAACTGGGTCAATATAAGCTCTTGGAACCATTAGCTATGCACAGAGAGCTGGTGATGGGGTGATGGGGTGGAGAAGGGAGAAGCAGCTGCCATTCCCAGTGGGAGAAGGCCAGGTGGATAGGAAGGTAGGAGAGGGTCCAGCCCCAGGTCACAAGTGACATAATTTCCCCTCTTCACCAGTCTGGACTCCACCTGCTTGGGCAGCACTACCCCTCCCCCCTCCCCTGGGTACCAGAGTGCCACCAAGCAGCTTCAGCAGCTCCCCTTCCCTGACATTGAACTAATCCTCCAGCTCAAACCTCCCTCAATGTGTAAACAGGCAACTGTTTAACCTGAACTTGGCAAATGAGAGCCTGGCCAGCGACCTCCTCCTGGCAGGTCTGCCGTCAGAAGGCTCTGTGATGCCAACTTCTGGAAGGATGGGCTCCATCCCTGGCTGACGTAAGCGGGTAATTAATAGCTCATCTCAAACCAGAAAGACAGATTGTGCTTCCCTTTTACTTTCCTTACACCTAAGCAGTGTGTCAATCACCACTCACAGCTCACTGTAAGCCATTTATGGCAGACGAGTCATGACAGAGCTTAGCGCTGTGCAGGCCCCGACGGGACCATGCTTGCTCCCCCTTCCTTGGCCTCAGCCTGCATCCTGACATTATTTTGGACTTCTTGTTTCACGTCAAATATGCACAGATGTGAGACAATAAACTAGAAAGAAAATATGTCCCTGGTGTCATGTTGAGAAGCAGAGTACAATTTTTATTTTCTTCTTTGTATTTTTCATGTTCCAAGCTATCTGTGGAGGGCACACACTGCTTTTATAATCAGAACAAAGGTTGTTTATAAAGATGTATGAAGCAGGGAAACATGGACCTGTAGGTGTTGGAGGTGCAAGCGGATTCAGGATCTCAGGCTCGAACCCCAGGACTCCGGGCCCCAGGATTCAGAACCCTGGCTTTCTTTGCATTTGCTCTACAGCTTCTCGTTCTTCTCTCTTTGAATATTAAACCCAAGTCAACTCTCTCTGCACAGGGCGGTAACAGTTACACATGGAAGGTTTACTGTGTGGCGGGAACCATCCCAAATCCTCCCCGCAACCCCATCATCACGTAAGGGCAATCATTTGTTTTCTTGTGCCACTCCCCCAGTCCTTTTTTGCTTTAGCTCTTTCTCAGATAGGATCTCATGCTTTTGCCCCAACTGGTCTCTGCCTATGATCCCCCTCAGAAGGTCCTAT